CGGGCTCGACGCTCTTCCGATCTATTTAAATTATATATGTGAGTGAATTGATAACTCACATGCCTAGTTACCACTGTTCTGATAATGTAAGCATAGAATGGAACAAAGGTAACCAAGCATTTAAATTATATATGTGAGCGAATTGATAACTCACATGCCTAGTTACCACTGTTCTGATAATGTATGGTTATCATGCAAAGATATTTCAGATTCGTGCCATCCGAAGAATCAACTTACCAATTTTGCGGAGGCAAACATGCTTTTTGTCTGACCCTTCACACTATTGGCGGCGCCTGGAAACACAAATTGTTAATTAATCAGGGATGCAACATCTCGTGTCCTTACACTCTGCAGACGAGACCCAATGACGGGCACTGGAGGTGGGGGGTGGGGGGGGGGGGGGGGGGGGGGGGGGGGGGGGGGGGGGGTGGGAGGGATTAGGCGAAGGGGGCAAGCACTCCCCCCAATAATTTCTGAAAGCCTTTGAAGGATATGGCTGAAAACTGTGTAATAAAGATGTAATAGGCTAAAATTTAAGCTATATATTGCATGAACAGCACATACACTACATTGATAAATATTTATTACCGAAACAAACTATTCTTCCAAAAGGTTTGAGTAAATCGTATCCTTTCACTGTATCCTTGCCACCAAGAGGATCCATCACAATGTCTACACCCTCAGGTTGAATTCTGCGAAGAACGAGAAAAGTGAAAACACAAGTGAGAAAATTAATTGTCGCAATTATATGAAAGAGTTCTCCTCGCTTCCCAAACGTAACAACAGAGAGTTACGAAAGTTGTAATTCTCTCGTGATTGTTTATGTTTTGACGGAAGAGAGTTATGTTTTTTCTAAAAATCATTCATTAATTAAAGGCATATGACTCGAAAATTGACGGCGTTATGTCTAATTTGAAAGATCATTGAAAACTGTAGTGTAACTTCTTTGATAGATTTTTGTTTTCTTGCTTCGTTTTGAAGATCTTTCATTTTATATGATATGCAAAGGACCAACTTCCTACGTCACATATATGCATAATGATTTAGCCCTAAAAGCTGTATATTTTTTAATACGACTAAACACAATCGGTAGAAAACCTATACATGGGTGTTGTTGTGGACAAATCTCGTGCTCGTCATTCATTTTGAGCGAATTTATTTGACAGTGACAAAATTATATAACATTTTAAAGTAAGTCATTATGCATGTTGACGTAGAAAGTTGGCACTTTGCATATCATACAAAATGAAATATCTCCAAAACGAAGCAAAAAAACAAAGAAGTAACTCTACAGTTTTCAACCATCTTTCAAATTAGACTAAAAAATAACACCGCCAACTTTCGAGTCATATGCCCTTAAACACTGAGAGAAAAATATATATAGAAAATTTCAACATACTTGCGAACTTCCTTGGCAAAACAGTTGTTTCGATAATCTATGGGATGCGTCACACCTTGTTCTTTAATTTTCTCGTGCTGAAATAATGGAAATAATTACGCGTAAAAATCTCCCAGCTTGTCAACAAGATGTGTTCGCACTGCTTGTTCCCAGTTGTTGACAAGTCTGGAACAAGTTGTTATCATCTTGTAACAAGGTTGATGAGGCCAACAGACTCGCAACAAGTTGTTCCAACAAGTCTGATATCGTCTGCACGTAACAAATCGATGACAACAAGCTCGTAGCAACTTGTTAAGGTTACAGAACACCTTTGAGTGTTAATTTTGCCTAAATTTTTTTTATTGGTTTCCATGAAAGCATTAGACTAGTTCTACTATCTGACCAAGTTTGAACGAAAAATGTTGAAAACTCGCAGAGTTATTTAATAAA